CAGTAGAACAGCTTCAGGCTAGTTTTCTCTTAAATCCAGAGAAATATACTGATGAACTTGCTACACAGCCAAGGCGACTGCTTAACACACTCAGGTAGGTATAGCTTATAATTTTACAATTATAATTTAGCTCCTTGTTTCTTTCTTTTGGGGAGAATGGTACATGAGCAGTGTAGGAATAAAGGGCAAGGAAAATTGAAACTCCAGATCCATGGTACTTGAAAATCCCAGAAACTCTCATAATTTGGGGGGATAAATTTGGTACTAAATTTATTAGATTTGAATTTGTATGAGGCTGTTTATTGTCTGTTCATGTTTATCACTCATATGAACATTCAAATGGTTTCATAATTGTAGGGTATTGCCCCATATCATGTTGATTATATATATTTTGCTTATGTGCCATGTTGTCTTTTGAATTCACAAACACATGTGATCCTAAGGATTTCAGACTAGGAATTATAGGTCTATATTAAAAATGTGTCATATGTATAAATTGTAAGTTCCAAATATTTTATGTGCCTAAAAAAGAACTATTGGTTAACTGGATTAGATTACTTCCCAGTGTTGTGTTAAAACGTGAAACCATATATAAAACTATTATTTTAACAAATTTTTTAATATTGTAGGTCTTTAAAAATTCATCGACTCAATTTTGAAATTGATATAGGTAAATCACATTGTTTTGCCTTTGTTAAGAGGCATTGTAGAAGGGTAGCAAGAGCAGATTTGAATCCTGATTTTTTCATCTTAACTGTGTGTGACTTGGGCAAATTACTTAACCTCTCCACACAGTTTCCATATCATTAGTGGTGGTAATAGGACCTACCTCTAGGAGATATTGTGAGGACTATATATACACATAATATCAAAAGCATTTACAATAAAATTTGGTTTGTGATAGGTTTCATATTAGCTGAATAAGTATCTTAGATTTTCCAAATGAAGTAATTTATAGAAATATTTGTTTTTATATATTACATCTTCACAACTAGAGTAGATGAAATGGACATTTTTATTTATAGGGAACTCAACCCTATGTATGAAGGATATCTACAGCATGATGCACAGGAAGTACTACAGTGTATTTTGGGAAATATTCAAGAAACATGCCAACTTCTAAAAAAAGAAGAAGTAAAAAATGTGGCAGAATTATCTACTAAGGTAGAAGAAAAACCTCATCAAAAAGTGGAAATGAGTGGGATTAGCAGCATGGAGACTGATGGTATGAGGAATTCTGAAGACCATAAAGAAAAACTCCCAAAAGGGAATGGAAAAAGAAAGAGTGACACAGAATTTGGTAACACAAAGAAAAAAGTTAAAGTTTCTAAGGAACACCAGTCATTGGAAGAGAATCAGAGACAAACGAGGTCAAAAAGAAAAGCTACTGGTGATACATTAGAGATTCCTCCTAAAATGATCCCCAAGTGTGTTTCTGAAAATGAGAGTACAAGACTCTCACAAAGGAAATCAAGAGTTAAAATAAATTGGTTGAAGTCTGCAACTAAGCAACCCAGCATTCTTTCAAAATTCTGTAGTCTGGGAAAAATAACAACAAACCAAGGATCCAAAGGACAGTCTAAAGAAAATGAATATGATCTTGAGGAGGACTTGGGGAAGTGTGAAATTGATAATACAACTAATGGTTGTGGACTTGAATCTCCAGGAAATAATGTTAAACCTGTAAATGTTAATGAAGTTAAGTCCATAAACAAAGGTCAGTATAATTCTTAGACTTTGATAGGTAGGAGTCTTAATAGCTGCAGAAATAGAAATCTTCTCTAGATAAACATACAATATAATACATGTGGCTAGAATTTTTGTTTTGTTTGAGAAAGTAATTAACATGGTGTGAACTGTGGTATTTTAAGCACTGTGCTTAGATTAAGTGTGGTGTGTGTATAATATATATGTAATGTCATTAATTATTAGGGTAAATGTTAATTTATGGTTTATAAACTAGGAAAGTCCAATACATTTTAATGGAGACTATATTTTTCTTTTATCTATGTAGATGTAAGGTCATAAGGGAAATAATGAGTAGTTATGCCATTCTTGAACTAGGTTTTCACTTGGTTTTGTCCATATGTACATATCTCAGGGAAAATGCATAGTGTTGATGTGGTTGATGGCACCAAAGTGCCATACATATTCTGGGCTCATTCTATAAGGAGGTGTCTCTGGAAAACAAGTTCAAAAATAACTGACTTTAAAGATAATAGAAATTCATAATTAAAACAAGCTTTATAGGGACTTTACACTTTATCAACAAGGTATCTCTTAATGCTAATAAACACATGAAAAATGGGGCTTTTATTCATGATATAATTTATTTCAGTGAAAAATTGGTTATTTGGACTATTGAAAAACTAATTTGTATAGACGTATATTTTCATTTTTTTTATTTCAGGTGCAGAGCAAATTGGTTTTGAGCTAGTGGAGAAATTATTTCAAGGTCAGCTTGTATTAAGGACTCGTTGTTTGGAATGTGAAAGTTTAACAGAAAGAAGAGAAGATTTTCAGGACATCAGCGTGCCAGTACAAGAAGATGAACTTTCCAAAGTAGAGGAGAATTCTGAAAGTAAGCAAAATTAGTCTCATTGGACCATGGAATAATATAGTTTTCTTTAACAATACAGTTTTAGTGTCCTTGGTCTACTGTATAGCTTTTCTTTTTGGCACTGGAGATTGAACCTGGGAGAGCTTTACCAGTGAATCACATTCCCAGCCCATTTTATTTTTTGACACAGGGTCTTGCCAAACTGCTAATTTGCTGAGGCTGGTCTTGAACTTGCCAACCTCCTGTTTTAGCTTCCCAAGTTGCTGGGATTGTAGGCATGCACCATTGTGCCTAGCTACCCTTTCTACTTACTTAGTTTCACTTGTGTAAAGTATGTTAGAATGGAAAAATGAAGTGCTTATTTAATAAAAGTTAATTTTGGGGATCTTGATCTTTCAAAGCTACCTGTAAATTTTTTTTTTTAATTTTTAGTTATAGATGGAACAATACCTTTATTTTGTTTATTTAGTTTTATATGGTGCTGGGGATTGAACCCAGGGTCTCACACATACTAGGCAATCGCTCTACTGTGAGCTACAACCCCATCCCCCTTACCTGGTAATTTTTAACACCATTGAAATCATTGTGTGTCTAGTACAAACTATAAAATGGAGATGTCATGCAAAATAATGAGATTGTTTTACTGAAAATTGGCTATTAGACTCATCTCTTAACAGTGAGACAGACTAGTTTTTGCTGTGTGTATCACATAAGTATTTTTGGCTGACCAATTATAATATTATACTATTTAAAAGATATTTATACAGAGCTGGGATTGTAGCTCCATGGTAGAGTACTTGTTTGGCACATCTGAAGATATGTGTGCTACTAAAGGTGATTTTCTGAAAGTAAAAGAAATCTCTTTAGTTATTTGGAAATGGGGTAGTCAGTTGAAACTGAATGCTAATTTTGCATGTGGAACTTTAATTTTTGAATATCGTATTTGTAAATGAAAGGATTCTTTTCTTTTTCCCTAATAGTTTCTCCAGAGCCAAAAACAGAAATGAAGACCTTGAGATGGGCAATTTCACAGTTTGCTTCAGTGGAGAGGATTGTAGGAGAAGATAAATATTTCTGTGAAAATTGCCATCATTACACTGAAGCCGAAAGAAGTCTTTTGTTTGACAAAATGCCTGAAGTCATAACTATTCATCTGAAGTGTTTTGCTGCTAGTGGCTTGGAGTGAGTATTGTAAATAAAAGCTACAGATGAAGAAAAGCTGCTATAGAGAAGAAAGGAATTAACTTGTAAAGATTGCTTTATTAAAAAGTTCTCTTTAGCTGGGTGTGGTGGCGCAGACAGCGGCTCAGGAGGCAAGGAAAGGCAGATAGTGAGTTCAAAGCCAGCCTCAGCAAAAGCGAAGTGCTAAGCAACTCGAGACCCTGTCTTTAAAGAAAATAAAAAACAGGAGTGAAGATGTGGTCAGTGGTCAAGTGCTCCTGAGTTCAATTCCTGGTACCGCCCCACCCCTAAAAATGTTCTCTTTAAACAGTTTCCTTGTAAAACGCATCAGTTTAAATCCTTTTGGTATGAACACATGTTCTGTTTAGTATGATTTCTATATATATCTTTTTCATATTCATTGTGTAGATGCTAGTTGCAGAATTCAATTTTAGTAGAATCTGATTAAAGCAGAAAAGAAATCTGAATACATTGAGATCTTTTTGAAGGGTAGAAAGGCAAAATTCTGTTTTTAAAGGTAAGCTAAGAAATCAAACTAGTCTTTGAAAAAGATGAGAAATTTTCTTCACTTGAGAATTTAAATGTATAAAAGCTGTTGAAGATAACTATAAAAACTAATTGCATTTTGGATAGTCTTTTTTCTGACATATATGTCATTGCTGATTTCATTTCTTTCCACATTAATGGGTTCTTTGAAAATGACATGAGCTTCCCAATAGCTTGCTCGATTGCATGTTTCTTCTCTCGCATGCACACTATACACAGACATACACATTATTATAAGACGGCATATTCTTTCTTCTTCTTTTTTTTTAGTAGAGCCGGGGATTGAACACAGGGCTTTGTGCATGTGAAGCAAGCATTCTATTGACTGAGCTATATCCCCAGCCCTCAGTGGGCATTTTCTTTGCTACAGTGCTATTTTATTTTTGTTCCCAATCTTGATAAGGGCATATTAAAATAACTAAAATGTAAAGGATTTTTAGTCTCAAAAACTCAGTTTTTTGATTTGGTTTTGTTTTTGGTACTGAGGATTGAATCTAGGCGTGCTTTGCCACTGAGCCACATACCCCCCCTTTTTTATTGGGAGACAGGGTCTTTTGCTGTTAAGTTGCTTAGGGCCTCTGTCCCAAGTAGCTGAGTTCACAGATATGCACCACCACACCTGGCAAACGTTCAGTGGTGTACTTAGGAAAATAAAGATAATGAAAAATTATACATATCCTCCACAAAATACCTGAATATTAGCAATTATTTTAACATTATATGGATATACTATAAATTTTATTCACAATTGAAGTCTTGTTTTTCTGCCTTTTCATTTATTCATCTTAGGCACTACATCTTGAAGGGTTTATTCAGACTTTTACTTGATTTTACATTGGGTATAAAATTTTGAATTTAAAATGGAATTACATGAGACCTTATTTCTTTTTTTTTTTCCCCAAAGGTTTGATTGTTATGGTGGTGGACTTTCCAAGATCAACACTCCTTTATTGACACCTCTTAAATTGTCACTAGAAGAATGGAGCACAAAGCCAACTAATGACAGCTATGGATTATTTGCAGTTGTGATGCATAGTGGAATTACCATTAGTAGTGGGCATTACACAGCTTCTGTTAAAGTCACTGACCTTAATAGTTTAGAACTAGATAAGGGAAATTTTGTGGTTGACCAAACGTGTGAAATAGGGAAGCCAGAACCAATGAATGAGGAGGAAGCAAGGGATGCAGTTGAAAATTATGATGATGAAGAAGTGTTGATTAGAGTTGGTGGAAATACACAGCCAAGTAAAGTTTTGAACAAAAAAAATGTAGAAGCTATTGGACTTCTTGGAGGACAAAAGAGCAAAGCAGATTATGAGCTATACAACAAAACATCTAATCCTGATAAGGTTGCCAGTACAGCATTTGCTGAAAGTAGAAATTCTGAGTCTAACAATACTAATGGGACCCATGAATCTGATAGAAACAAGGAATCCAGTGACCAAACAGGCATTAACATTAGTGGATTTGAGAACAAAATTTCATATGTAGTGCAAAGCTTAAAGGAATATGAAGGGAAGTGGTTGCTTTTTGATGATTCTGAAGTGAAAGTTACTGAAGAGAAGGACTTTTTGAATTCTCTTTCCCCTTCTACATCTCCTACATCTACTCCTTACTTGCTATTTTATAAGAAATTATAGAGTGAGTGTATTTTCCTTGTATATATATTAAACAGACCTGGACAAACATTGGTAAAGTCAATTACATCAGAGTCTAGCTTATCTTTTGAAGCTATTGGATATTATTGGTCTCTCTAGGTTTTTATATAAATAGTGAAATTTGAAATACTGAAAACCATGTTAATTTTTAGAATTCATTTTCCTTAGAGACTAGTGATGCATTAGCTTCTGGGAACAAACTTGTATAGGTTCTTAATTGAATTATATGAAATGGGAAGCATTTAAACACTTGGATTTACACCAATCTTTTGTGTTTGCTTTTAAAAATAAAGTGCTTGTATTTGTATTCTCCATATTTTGGAGTAATTATCTACATGATGTTTATAGCTCTGTGGTTTTTCACTTAAACAGAATCTCATTCAGTACATTTAGTTTTATAACAGGAAGCCAAATCTTTGGTGGGCTGTATCAAGAGGCACAAAGTCTAGAATGTGTATTTACAATGGTCTACATTTTGTGCCTTGAATCACTTTGAAAAGTGTCTCAGAAAACCTAGACAGTCCTCTGTATCTTCATAAGAATTTTATATGTATTTATGAAGATGATTCTGTATTCTAGTAAATCTTTTTGGGCATGGACTAATTTGTATCTCTTCATACTCATATTCTGCACGATCTGTATATAGTACATCAAACTTAGAGGTGTGACCTTAAATTTAACTTTTTTTTAAATACTGGGAGGTCAATAAAATTTAAACTGCTTAACAACTATGTATACAAATGCTCAAATTTTTTTACTTGAACAGAATAAATTGTGTGTGTGTCTGGAGAGAGAGAACAAACATGCATGTTACCTTTAATAATATTCAGTGTTTTCTGTCAGTGGACATGAAGAATATCTGAGAAACTGCTTGGTCCGGCCTGGTTATCATACTTAAAAGAGGTTTATAAGAAAAATTTGTCACGTCTTAGTTGCCCTTTAAACTAGACATTTAATGGAATCCAAAATGAGACTTATATGTTTTGGGCACACATAAAAACCTAGGTTAAACTATAATTTTAAATACTGTATACTAAATCAATAAATGGTTAATTATCATATGATTTGTTAAAGGACATTTTTGGTAATAAGATTTTGATTTTGAATCTATAAATGCTATTGGAATAACATCCTATTTCAACAAATAAGAATACCTGGTCAACAAAAAAAAGACAGTTATATTTCCCTACAAGATTCTGTGATGTGATAAAAATAAAGTTGTGCTTCTCCTGCTTTCTATATTCAGAATCACCGATGGAACTTTATAAACAGCTTTTGTGCACTATCTATCTGTAAGATTCTGGTGGAGTAGATCAGGATAGCAACTGGGCCTGGAATAACTCAAAAGATAGCCAATGTTGAGAACTAGTACAGATTCCTGATGTGAAAGTGTCTGCATTTTAAGAAAACACGTAAGAAATTAAGTATTCTGTGTCATACCAAAGTTTGAGTAAAAGGAAGCTTCTGTATTGACTCAGAGTAGTTGGTATTGCAAGACAACAAAACCATAATTATAGAAACCTTGAAGTCTTCAATATAGTATTTCAGACTTGTGTGAAACAGTCCAAACATGTAAGAGAATTGACCCTAGGAGTTAATTAATATGAGAAATGGCTTAGGTGATACTTAATATCCTTATATCTACCCTCTTTCATCCCCAAAGAACAGGAAGACTGTCATTTTTGTGGGTGAGTTTCAATTCTTATTGCCTTTCCTTATTCATTTAGCTCCATTTTCCCCTAATAGATTTCTTTTATTTGCAGTGCTGGAGATTGAACCTAGGGCCTTGCCCATGCTAAGCAAGTGCTATACCACTCAGCCCCCAACCCCAAATAAATATTTGAAGTTATGCCTATCTGAAAATTTTTTTTTGATTCAGTCTTTGAGTTGATGCAGATAAGAATTAAGGATAATTGCCCACTGAATTAAGTTTGAGGGGGAAGATAAACCATCACCTACATATATCAACTAGAGAATGAAGTCATGGTACTAATTCTAATCAGTTCTTACGGGATTCATGTAACTGACCAGTACATCAAAAGCGTTATTTCAAGGGTCCATTCTATAATAATAATACACAAAAACCCTTCCAGAAATCATGACTATATACTGTTTTGAGAAAATGAAAGTAATTAAAATAATATTTTCTGTATTATTTTTTCATAAGAAGTTATGATTTTAAGTGATTTAATTTTGACTAAAGCAGCTAATTTTAACTTTTTAACATGCTTTGTAAAATCTGCAAGTGTCAAAAAGTAAATGACTTCTCATTTAATTGGTAGATTAAAAGGAATAAACTCCAGCTCTGTGTTACCCTTCATGGTGACATAGCTTTAAAACAGATTCCTAATTTATTGGCTTATGTCATTAAAAACTGATGACTGGCCTGTTTAATCTGAAACAAATCATACATTTTAATTGCGGAGAGTCATGAAGTTCATACTAATAACAAAATTGTCATAAAGACCAAGCTGTTGTCATCAGTACTAGCTGTTTCAGTATTTTAATCCTTTATAGACAAGAATTTTATCAGATGAAGTCATTTTTTAATTCTAAATTTCTTTTTTAGGGTATCTAAAATGGATACCCTAAATTGGAAACCAGTTTAAAACTTCATATAAAGCAGTTACCAGTAACTACTACCTTCACCCATTAACACATTTAATTAATGCCTCTTTGGGCCTATAAAGTGACTGCCAATTTTGATTTTAATTTTGCTAGTTTTGAAGCCAGTTAACTTTTCTCTGCCTCTTTCAATAAAGAAAAATTTTCAAAGTCCCACTCATTAAAAATTAGTGTAAACATTCACATATTTAATAGTACCTTTAAAATAAGCATTACTACATTTAAAATGGTTCCAAAATGAATCTATAAATGGTAATATAAATTAAAAAATACGAACTTAAAGTAAATAAATTTAACATTAGCTATGGTATAAATAATGGTAAATCTATAGTGTACCTTTTCGAGTCATTAAAATAGCTTTAAAAAAAGATAACAGTATGTTACCAGAATGTCAGAAACCATAGCCACGATTCTCAAACTTTACAATCTACACTTGGTACCATTTTGGCATTCTTCAATGAGTAAATTAATAATTTCCAGAATTACATCCCAAGTCCTAGTTTTCAAAAGATCTTAACTTCTTTTCATAATGTTGAATACATGGCTCTTTTCAAATGAATAAAACAAGTGCGTTTATTTTAGAGATCCATTTTGCGAAGGCTCATTCGACTGAAGGAATCTCTGGGAAAAAAATAAGAAGACAGTTATAAAAGAACAAAATAAATGTGCCATACTCAAAAAACAAATTTTGTGTGTATACCTTTTAAGATGTTTTACATACTCCTCCCCACCACTGCCAGAGTAATCTCAAAATTTTTGTCACCAGTTATACTGACTTTTGTTCACATACTCTGCCTTATATGTTCTGGGTAACAAATTTCTCCAGAAGTGAATTACAGTAACCAGTTTACCAGGTCTATTGATCATTTATTTATTTGTCTAGTAGGTGCTGCAGATATTGTGATAAAAAAAGGACAATTAGGGACAATGGGAGATTTCAGGAAAAGACCTGGGATTAGAAAATGGCAAAAAAGCAGGTGTTTCTTGAAAATATTAAAAATTTTAAGAATTTTGTCTTAGATAATTTTATATTCTTAGATTACTGAAGACCCCAGGAATCTTTATATGGCTTATATATTGAAAAATTTTATTATTTTATAAAACAACCAATTACATGTTACTATAAATATAGCACTGTTTATTAAATAACTTGCAAGAGATTGTAGAAGAATAGCACTCTTACATATTTCATGTGTGGCTTAATAGAAGGTCTAGATTTTCATATCTGCTTCTGTATTCAGTCTTAAAATATCACATCTCATGTTATATCTGAAAACTCTACCGTGCCCTTGTGATAATGAGAGTGAAAAGGCAAACAATATTTGGTATCAAGATGAAACAAGTTTTGATTTCAGAAACCTTGAAAAGGGCCTTAGGGACTCCCCATGGGTCTTAGATCACCTTTGGGAATCTTAGGCCCCATAGGCCTTACTGCAAAATAACATTCCGTATTTTATAAATCAACAAAAATTAAAATTCTTTTTCCCCAAAAATTCTGAAGTTGAGATAGAAAGGGATGATATTCTTGAAATAACCTCTTGGTGTATTTTTCTTTACCCTTAAGTTGGTTTCTTTTGCTATTAAGGTTAAGCAGGAGGAACCTTATATCTCTTAAGAAAGGAGAGGGCAGGTATAAAGAGATGACATTCAGCTCTGAATCTCAAAGCTTGTTTTTTTTTTCAGTTCCAGAGAAAACATTATTGAAATCTGGTTACTGTTCATCAAGAAAAGGTTTTTTCTAAATGCCAAAAAGTTGCCTGTAAATATTAAGAACTAAAGCTGAGAAGATGGCATAAAGTAGATCACAGAGAAGGGCAAACTCAGGATATGGTATAATGGAGTTTCCTTCAGATAAGAACACAGCCTTTCCAAGGAAAGGAGCTATAGAGAGCGGAAGGAACTGACACTAGGATTAGGCAACTGCTTGACTATCTTGGGGACACAGCACTCTCACCCTCTGGGACCTTTGACTTGGTGGGTAGGACTGGTGTAGAGAAGTGGAGGCAGCAAGAAGGAAGAAGTTCCAAACTAAAGGTAAAACCATTGGGAATTTTGAAAGGAAACTACCTCCTAGAATGTTTCACATCAGAATAGATAATGGAAGCAAGACTTTTTTGTCTGCATGGTAGGGGTACGAGGGATTGAACGCAAGGGCATTCAACCACTGAGTCACATGCCCAAGCCCTATTTTGTATTTTATTTAGAGACAGTCTGAGTTGCTTAGGGACTTGCTTTTGCTGAGGCTGGCTTTGAACTCATGATCCTCCTGCCTTAGCCTCCAGAGCTGCTGGGATTACAGGCATGTGCCAACATGCCTGGTGCAAAACATGTTTTGTCAGAGGATCTAAAATGGGCCCTCTGGGCTCTACTCCTGTAGCTTGTAGAAGAGACTTGAGATAATGTACTTGCTCCCTTGGGGGACATAATATACAGCAGGCACTTGGTAGACTTTTGAATTAATGTGAGAGTAGATTTTTTTTTTCCCCACTGCTCTTTTAAGTAGAAAAGTAGACCACTAAAAAACAACTAATTTAATGAACCTTTTTTTTTGGTACACAGGAGCACTTTACCATTGAGCTACATCCCCAGCCTTTGTGGGGGGAGTGTGTGGGAGGGGTGGGTACTGGGGATTGAAGCCAGGGCTCTCAAACACTGATCCACATACCCAGCCAACCTTGTTTTACTTAGAGACAGGCTGAGTGCTTAGGGCCTCACTAAATTGGTGAGGCTGGCTTTGAAATTATGATCCTCCTGCCTCAGTCTCTAGAGCCACTGGGATTACAGGTGTGTGCCACTGCACCTGGCTCATTTTTTTTTTTTAATTTTCCCAATATGTGGTGCTAAGAATCAAACCCAGTTCCTCACACATGCTAGGCAAGCTCTACCACTGAGCCACAATCCCAGTCCCTCGTGTGTATGTATGTGTGTGTGCACCGAGCACCCTGAGGCTATCCTCAAAGTTGAGATCACTGAGATTATAGGCATGTGCTAGCCAGTTTAACTTTTTTATTGCAGTTTAGAATACTCTGATCTAAATTGCTTTCATACAAGTAGCTTTGAACAATCTTCTAAATGTTAATTTATTGGACAACAACAATGTAATACT